ACTCGATGACGTCGAGGGCGATCTTGGATCGTCAGATGTTAGTGAGCCCATAAAAGGAAAAGGCGGCGTGGCACAGGCACTCAGCCTTGTGAGGGTCATGCCCGTGCACGATCCTTTGGTGGAACACGGCCCGGCTACACGGCATATTTAGTGCGCTCTTCGAAATCGAGCAAATGAATTGTTGGGGTAGGCGAGATCATGAGTGATGACGAAGACTACGGAGTGTCCGTGGAGGGTTTCCGCGAAATAGTAGTATTGATACGACTTTGCATGACTTGCGTTGCTATGCAAGGAATCGATATAGGTTGTATGTTCATCTATTTAAGTTTCCACGCGTGACAGCTGACGTTTCGATGGAACGTTGGGGTTATTTCCCTTATCTGATAGTATTTCCACCGACTCCCACGGGTAGCGTATCGGCTCCAACAGCGTCGTGGTAGTGGAGCTGTTAACATAGTGGATAAACGATTGCAACGCATCAAACCTCCTCGGAGCCGAATGTCCGACTCTCTGTTCCGTGGGTTAAACTTTAATATTCCGAAAATACTTGGCACGACTGGGGATAAGTTGGTCTAAACCGAAACAGAAGGTGATACAGATCGTGTCGACATGGTTATGAGCCAAGGATGAGACCTGCATTTGGAATACTGGTGCCTGTTGCTTCATGTCGCGAAGGAGCCAATTATATGTCGAGTAGCGCGTGAGTTGTCAACAAGGTAATGATCCACGTGTTATGCATGAGCACCAAACCAACCTTGGGCCAGGGCGCTAAGATCAAATTGAAGGATCAAGTTTAAAGTGATTAATGATGAAATGACTCGGAATCGGGAGAGGTCAGACCAGGTTTCGTAGACATTGAGTCAGGGTAAACTGATGATGTGTGATCTTAATGGGGACTAATGCCTACAGCAGAACAATCACACCACGTCCAGATTAAGAGTTTGATATTGGCAATCAGCAGTCAAAATGAGATAAAACATGACAAGGAGTGGCTGGTAAAAGAAAGTATGCAATGTACCTAGAAAATCGATGAGATTTTGATGTTGATGAACAAGTAATTGAAACTACCCTGAACCTGCTTAATGTGAGAAATTCGTTCTTTGTTGGTGGATCACACGCCATCACTGTCTATTGGTCAGTGCCAAAAATACATAAATGTAAAGCCGCGCTACGCCCCAGCCAGCCACTGGGTAAGGGCTATGAGACTTGAGCTAACTCAATGGAGAGCAGATTTCCACTTGAGTACCCTTGTCAGACTGAATTTCATGAGTTACAAACAACATGTTGGTTATATTGAGAGATAGTAAGGCGCGATATGCAAGTTACAGGATAAGCGATAATATACCATCCGTACTCCGTAGAGCTGTTTGTATTCGAGTCAGAAAATAGGGCTGACGATATGACGGATCCGCGAATCACATCGCCAACCCCGCTGCCGGTCAAACAATTCACCGACAACTTTATGCCTCTGTCAGTACTCACCAGTCTTTACCAGCTCATGAACACCATGATAAACAGAAGGATCCCTCTTGCATCGTACCTCTTTACGCGCCTCAGACAGGCAGGTACAAGACGCGTATATGGCGTCCCAGGCGACTTCACCCTGCGAGCGCTCGATCATCTACCGCGTTCAGGGCTCAAGTTCGTTGGATGCTGCAATGAGCTAAATGCCGGATATGCAGCGGATGGGTATGCTCGGGCTCAGCGCCATCGCAAAGGATCTGGAATTGGGGCGTTGATAACGACTTATGGCGTTGGCGAGCTAAGTGCGGCTAATGCCGTTGCTGGAAGCTATGCGGAGTACTTGCCGGTTGTTCACATCGTCGGAACGCCTTCGCGACGCGCAAGGCAGGTTTCGTGTTCGTCTGTTGGCGGGAAGAAGCCCCATTTGCATATTCATCATACGATGGCTGACTCCAGAATTGGGGTTTATCGCGAGATTGCAGAGAAGTTTACGGTTGCGCAGCTTGATCTTGCTGAGACTACGCCAGAGGAGGTGCCGACTCAGATCGACAGAGTTCTGTCCCAGGCACTACATCATAGCCGGCCGGTCTACATAGAGATGCCGTCAGATGTTGTAGAGACGGAAATATTGCCAGACAAGCTGGATGATCCGATAGATCCGAATCCAGACGCGGTTCGCAATCTTGACGCTGGCAAAATGGCACAGAATCTCCTGCAGAAGCTTTATTCAGCCAAGCGACCTCTTATCATCCTTGATCGAGCTGAAGGCGCAGAGACCATCAGACGAGAGATCAACGAATTCGTTCAAAAGTCGGGCATTCCTACAGTGTCTTTGCCTTCAGGAGCCAGCATGGTGGATAATTCGCTGCCAAACTACTTCGGCGTTTACTCGGGAGCAATCGGTACGGTTGATTTGACATCGAAAGTCAAATCAGCAGACCTTGTCTTGGCCTTTGGTTGCCAATTTTCTGATACACAAACGCTCGGTTGGGCGGTGTTGCCAGAGCGAAATGTCATGACTCTTATTGGCAGGAATCATATCGAGGACGAGCCTGTCAACGTCCAAGATGTCGTCAAGGAGATGACTCAGAAACTTGATGCAACCCGGCTGCCACCTCAAGATACGTCCTCATGGGGAGACTTTAGAAAGCAATCGCAGTTCGAGGTCTTTCCCAAGGCGTGTATCATCCAGGATGAGTTCTACATCCACCTGAACAAACACCTACAACCCAACGACACAGTCTTGCTAGGCAATGCAACCCCAATCATAGGAGGCCGTGATCTGGTTCTTCCACCATCCTCTCAGCTGATAGCATCTGGAATGTGGTTCTCAATCGGTCACATGCTCCCAGCCGCTCTTGGGGTCTCTCAAGCAAAGGCAGTTATGAAGTCAAAAGGTCGCACAATTCTTCTTGACGGAGATGGAAGCTTTCAAATGACTGCTCAAGAACTCAGCACTATTATCCACCAGCGTGCCAACGTGATTATCTTCATCATCAATAACAGCGGATATACATATGAGAGGTATATCCATGGAATGAATGAGGCGTACAATGATGTGGCGCCTTGGAACTACAGTGCTGCACCTCAGTTATTTGGGGATGCACCGGAAGGGTATCCAATTCACTCTTGTAAAGTGAGAAATATGGAAGAATTGGATGAAGTTCTCAACTCCGAGGGCTTTGTTAAGGGCAAGGGCCTGACTCTTGTTGATGTTGAGATGGATATGTATGATATCTCCGAAAAGGCTAAGATTCTATTTGAGTTGGCTGGAAAGCAGCTGTGATAGAGCATTTAGATACATCCAGTTCGTTACATGCACTTGGAAAAAGTGTTCATCTGAAGCAAGCCTGTTGAACACAGAGATAATTCTCTGGAAGTTGAAGCCCAGTAGCTCGAAGTGAGTAACTAATAATTGAATCTATACTTGCGCCATAAAAAGGAAGCGGACTATATACATGAAACTATATCTACCAATGAAGTCATAACTCGAACAAACCATGTCAACCCCCCACTCTAATTCAGAAGCTCGCTAAGATCTCGCTTCGCGTTCCTCTTGATACCGCACTTGTTCAAGCAGGCATCAATACCAAGAGCAATGTTCGCAGGAATATGCGCGCGGAAAGACTCAATATCCTTTCCATCAATAGTCTGCACGCCCCCCAGAGTTGCTTGCACAACATCACCGTTGAGAGCGAAGAAGTTCTGAGCGATCTGGTTCACACCAGGATCAGCATTGTCGAATGCAGCAACAAACACAGCATCTTCGCAATCAGGGTTGAATTCTTGGTGGATAGCGCCCTGGGGAAAGACGGACATCTGGAATGTATCCATCGTGTTGGCGATAGGCTTGGCGCCATTCTCAACGACGAAATTTGTGACAAGACGGCCCTTGACGATGATGTTAAGCTCAGTTGCTCGGTTGTGAACGTGAGCTGTGTTCATCCCGCAGGGCCCGAGAAAGGCTACTGTCATGGAGGCGCCGTTGCCGATGAGAGCGGGCATGGTTAGAGCAGTAGCTGAGACAGACCTGCCGCCTTTGCCGGAAGCCTCTCCGGCTCCGGTGGCGGCCTTGAAGTCAAAGACAAAGTCGCCAGGCTGATTGAGAAGCTTGACGCGTTCGGCTTGGGTAGGGGCAGTGATGATCTTGGAGATGAGGTCTCGGTCTCCACTTCGTGTGTTGATGGGTACGATGGGAGGAAGCATGTCATCGATGCTATCACCTCGAGCGTGATGAGACGACTGAGCAGCCCGGGGAGCGGCGAGGGCAGAGCCGGCAAGAAGAAGGATTGACAAGAATTGCATTTTGAATGTTGATTATTGTGTTTGTATGTGTAGAGGAACTAAATAAAGATGTTAAGCTTAATAGGCTCTGATACTGTTGAGATAGATGTCGAGGAGTTGTTGGTGATATTTTCTTTTCACAGTGCTCTACTCGTCCTTATATCCATATTTCCTCATCTCGTGAGAATCCGAGATTTGCTTCGCGACAGTCCGCGTATTTCGGACAATCATTTGATTGAATGTCAGCAGCACTGCATTAGTTCAACCTGTCATCTGGTCGCCGATGATAAGGCTGGACACAGCCGCACTTAATTATAAACATTTTCGGGTTCCAGCCAATCAAACCTCTCCATGGAGGCTGACCGATTACTCAGCCTCCATCGAAAGGATTTATTTAGATGGGCGCAACTCGCTAAAGAAATGTTGAATAATCAGGGCTGCCCCAAACAGGCTAGAATGGACCAGCATGTAATTCCTTATGCTTAGATATAAGGATTATGCTTGCTGTTAGGGCTCACAGTCAGCTTACTCCGGACGAAACGAGGTGTAAAACGATTGGTTGTCTAAGGAGGCGGTGTCGGCGAGGGCTGGAATGCGGATGACAGGATTGCATTGCATGACGGTTTTACGAAAGTTCTTTTAATCATGAATCCCGCTGATCTAGATGACAATATAAGAAGATTAAGACCCCGTGCAGGTAGATCTAGTCGAAGAAACTAAACCAAGCTTACCTCATTGACTTTGTGTTCATCATGGATCTCAGTGCACCATCTGGTTATGAGTCTTATTCCAACCGGCTCGACCCTCACGATGAATTCGACAACGGATATGTTGAAAAGAGTCCTCGTCCGGTCTCTGACACACAGCGACTTCTGAAGCAGCGCCGTGCGCCGCAGACCAAGAGCGCGAGCATCTTTGACACCACCAGGCTGGCCCTGCGTGTCCTCATCCTTTTGCTTGACCTCAGCATCATGAGTCTTCTCATCCATGGAGTCAGCGTCTGGAAGACGACGCATAACTCTCTGGATAGAAATGAGGACGGCTGGGTGAGGACGCGTTGGGCTTCGATCAAGATGCTCTCGACGTGGTTGATGCTGGCAATCGCGGCATTTGCATCATTTGTCCAGATAGTGGCTCTGGCAACGCGCCTTATTTTCGTAAGTTCTTCGTTGAATGACACTTATTTGAAGATGGTCTGACAAAAGAATAGTTTCGCTCAATGCGTGACGGCTTGATACACACCAGCGCCGTACTTGCCAGCTCTGGTATTGTCATCGCCGGCTGGATCGCCGCAACTGTTTACTTTATCGTCGATAAGGAAGTTCTTCGAAATAACCACTGGGACCTCTGGTCTTGGTCATGTCGGAACAGCTCGCGACAGAGCTATATTCCCTGGGCTGGCTTATGCACAGAACTGGTTAGTTAATATCCCAAATGCACGCTTCCTATGTAGTGACGCTTACTTTTATAGTCTTATGCCTTTATTGCAGGTCTTGTTGTTATAGTATTGGAGATTATCAGCTTAGTCCTGTTCATTATTGTATTACGAGGGATCAACATTTTGGGAAAGTATAACAGAGCTAGCTTAGGTTAGTTCTATAGTCGGCCATTCTAAGTAGTATCAGCTATTATTTTAATTGTGGCCTTCAGGTTGGTACGTGGTACTCGGCAATGTCAAGCAGGATGTCAACTGTGAATGCGATGTCATTAGCGATAGGCCTGTCACTCAGTTCCAGGTGTCATGAGACCACGGCAATAGAGATTTCTTTACGGCGTCCGTCGAGTGCTTTTTGCCCGGAAGCTTATTCGAGCATCCCGTTGCAATACTCCCCTCCTGTGACTTCCGTTCAGTTTCACGTCTACCGCTTGAAAAATTCTACTGGCTTTGATATCAGATGACTGGGGCCTTTTCGGGATGTGGCAAGGCCTCTTCCGGTGCTCAGTCGGTGTGCTCTCATCCCAGTCGGTACCATCCTTCATTATCGCGGTGATGAGGCTGTTATGTGACTTCTTGGCAATAGCCGGGGACTGGTCGAACGCGCGTACGGTGTCTATAGTGACAAGTCTCTGGAGTAGTCTCTAGGGCAAGGGGATTGACTGGGTGCAAATAACTCCAATGATCGCCACGTGGATATGCCTTCACTTTTCCGTGCCCATGCCAACACCATGAATCTTCATTGGCCCATCACAATGCATGTTCGTACTCCATGAGTCGCCAAGACCCCGACTAGTTCCTAGACTCAACGGACTTTCGCAGATTGTCCGTCGACCCTTGTATCGTTGTCGTAAACCTCTCTGTGTCCTTCGATATGGAGTCGTCGCTTTCGCTAAAGGCTTGGCACTAATGGGAATGCGAGGCCGTTTTATCCACGGGAGATAGACATACAAGGGTCGGAAGCCGCGGGACTCGCCATGGGAGTGTGCAGTACGTGGCCATGGGGTTGGACCCTTGAATCAAGGGTCTTGAATCGCTAGCGTTGAAGTTTAAACTACCTGGAAGAGCGATTCTAGATCCCGAGGTGATTGCCGAATCACTTCAAGATCGGTGAAGAGTAAAAGTTACCCCCTGAGAGCTATGTGTTGATTAAGGCGGTCAGTTGATAAGTGGTGTGAAGATATTGTATCGAGCACATTCCGCTGGCAGTTGTATAAGGCTAATAGTAGGTATCTCATGACTCTCATCAGCACAACGATATCTCCCCCCTCTCAATCACAGGCCTCCCAGTTGCATCCAACACGCTCCCTCAAACAGATCATGTCATTTTCATATCAAGCCTTGTCCTTGCCAAAGTTGTCAGCAGCATCATTCGCCTCCATGATTGCCTGTCTCGCACCAGCCCACGGCTTCCTCCCCCGACCAGTGTCAAACAATCTCAAAACATGAGCTGACAGGATACCCGTCATCAGCCTATTATACAGTTCTCTATCCTTCCACCAAAGCTTCCAGCACCTCCCGCTGGTCCAATTTCCCAAATGATCATAGAGACCGGTCCCAGCGACATCGTTCAACCACTTGTCGAATTCCTTGTGACCAATGACACCAGTGAACTTGACATCGCCGCCCTTGCTCAGCTTGACAATATTGTCGATAAAAGCATCGGCATCTTTGTTCATCTCTGCAGGAGAGGGCATTGGATGCTTATCTCCCCAGAGCTGAGCCAAGGCCATGGTCATCAAGTCGTAGAGCTGCCAGGCCGGTCGCTTCGCCAGTGTTGTTCCGAGGAACGCCAACTGGTGAGGACACTGGATTGATATAAAGCCTCGATATAAGCGAGCGACGCGTCTATCAGCTGTGTAGTGAGGCTGAAGCTTCGCAAATGAGCTGGGTGATAGATCCACGTTGTAGGGATCGTAGTCTTTGGGGATAAATGAAGCCAAATCAGGCGATAGACCGGTACAGAATAGTATCAGGTCAATGTCGGTGGCTTCACTGCCGTCGACGAACTTGACCGACTTGGGACCATTGATCTCTGCAATGCCTGGAGCACTTCGTAGTCTGCCTCATGTCAGTAAGAGCGGGAGAGATGATGGATCCTGTAGACGAACCTTCCACTCAAGAAGTAACCAGCCAAATCATCGCTGACAGTCGGTATCATGTGTTTTGGCCCAGGCATCTTGCGCCCATCTGTAAAAGCAGGGTGCGACGACAGGCCTGGAAAGTTGTCCTGTTGGATCTTCTTCAATTCGCTGAAGAAGATGATGGACATGAGCCATGCGTTGACTTCTTGAAGAAAGAAAATTAATTGAAGGAGTCTGAATGAGAGCGTAAACTCCAAGACCTTGTTGTCTTTGGTGATGCGAGGTAGAATGAGAACCTTTTGTCGATGAGATACGATGAGTTTATTCGCGCCCGCCTTGTGAAAGCCAGAGATGGAATCTGCTGCAGTGCTACCAAGGCCGACGACGAGAACATTCTTGCCTTTGTACTTGGCGGGATTCTTGAAGGCTTGAGAATGGAGTACTTCACCCTTGAAGCCTTCGATACCTTTGACATTGGGGATTGATGGCTTGGTGAAAGATCCAGTGGCGAGGATCAATCGCTCAAATGTGTCCTCCTGGATCCCAGCATCGGGTTTGCTGCTTGAGCGATATGAAAGACGCCACATTTTGGAGGTTTCGTCGCGCGAGACGCCGACGACTTCTGTGCCGAATTTGATGTGATGAACGAGCTTGAACTCTTTAGCGTAGGATTGGAAGTATTCCTCAATCTGTTCGCCAGTTGGATACATGGGGTATGCTGTGAAATGTCAGCCATGAATCAGTAAGTGAGCGACAAGAGGGTGACTTACATTCTGGCATGGGAAAGTCGGTCATGACGCCCTGCAACTGTTAGTCCCTCTACCAATAGTCAATTGTTGACAAGAACGCACCGTAAGCTTTGACGTATTGGTAATCGTCCCAGGCAATACGCAAGTCTGTGTAGGATCAGACGTGATATGCCACAGGCCGCCGACATATTCATTGCGCTCAAACGTGGTAACGTCAAAGCCCTCTTCGACAAAGTTCTTGGTCGCGATCAAGCCCAGGGGACCAGCACCCACGATCGCGACCCGCTTCCGCAAGCCATCTGAGCCAAGGTTCATCATTGTACAGTTGCAAAAGGTGGCGTTGAATATCACCTGTAAAAAGAAATTGATCAACACGACCAAGAGAGGTTTCTTTAGGCTGGCATTCAACATTACAATATTCTATATATACAAAAGCACTTCGGGATGCGAATTGGCCAATTCGTCCGCACAGGGAAAACCATCAGTGAGAAAGCACCGAGAATTGCGTTACGAGGCACAAGAAATGGCTTGGCTGCGTCAGCAAGCGCCTGCGAGTCACTTTTCTCAGGTCATTTTGGGGATCGGGTATCGATTCGTCCGCTCTTTTGTTGGGATCCGCCAATCCCAATAATCCTGCAGCTTACTACGAGATTCCCGTAATCCCGCAATCCTAATCCTGTCATCCCTCAGCGAACCCAAGTCCGCGATACATGTCGGGCAGATGTTAGATCGGTTGCATTTTCTGCAGGCATTTCCTGCAGTCAGTGGGTGAGCCACTGAGTCGCTTCAACCATAGCGCTGTTTCCCCATGTCATTTTAATCTCAGTGCATCAGACCACTATAATGCCCACTAAAAGACACAGCACAGGCCCTATAGGGCTGTTATTCAGTTCATATCCAGGAAGAGACCACCATTGAGCGTCGAGGGGACTATTGACAGATGATCAATTCGTATCTTTAGCGATCTCAAGCGACATAATCGTACAGAATGCGCGCAGTCTCACTAACACTCCCCTTCTTGAACGCAACACGCGCCGTCCATCTTCCCTTCTGAACCCCCCAAACCTGCTCATTCTGCCACGGTTCAGCACTACCAGCCCCCGCACTCTTGATGCTAATCCGAACGACCCTCGTCGTCTTCTCATCATAGCCCTCCCAGCCTTGCTTGAGAAACTCAACAACGTCTCCGATAGTATGAGGTTCCTTGATCAATTCTTCAATCGTGCACATCCAAATGCGACTCTTCGTCTTGCCAATCATGGGCTCGTCTTTCTCCTGCTCAATGCCATCCATCACGCGCACGTCAGTGTTGTCGGTTTGAAAGCCAACGGCTCGTAGAGGTGCTGCTCCAATGATGCCGAGACCCATTACGGAGGATGTAAGCTTGAAGTGGTAGTGTGAGGCTGCATCGCTTGGATCAACGGGTTCCACGATGATGTGAATTTTGATCTTGGCTATGCTGATGACTTTGCGGATGGCATATGGAACGCCTTGCTAAACTCATTCAAATAAAAATTAGTTAGATCTTGAGGCTTGTATAAGAGGTAAGAATAATAGATTTGATCTCTCGGAGAGTTGGGTAGAGATGGACGATTCAACATATGTTTCTTACCAGGGCTTGAATTGGGTCTTGAGAATCGCTCTCTAGATTATTCTTGGAGTCGTTAGCATATGAAATTCTCTATCAGAAAGAATCTGGCGTATGATGGAAACGCACCTGCATAAACACAGCATCGAAGTTTGGCAGAGCCAAGTCCTTTGGCACAGTCATGGCGTCGATTGTTGCAGCTTGATGGGTAAGCTTTTGAGATTTAGATTCCGCGCCTAATACCTGTCTATTTTATATCAAGCAGGATCAATCCCTAGACCTGGTTGGTTCCGAGCTTTTTGCAATGTACTGCGAAGCTCGGGGAGATTATACCCCGATTAGCATATCGACTTGTTGCTTATCTTTAGCTCTCTAGAGTGCCTCGAGAATGGGAAATGGTTAGTTGAAAACACCTCATGTTCACTTGTATACACCTTTCTGGCTTCATGAATAGCTGCAGTTTATATCTAGTTGTATCGTGAGGATGAGATCCTGAAGAGTTCGCCAGTTCCGTCCCTTGTAGCCCAGTTATTGAGTCCTGGATGAACCAGTACCATAGTAACTATTCGATCTTCATACGATCAACCGCTCCAAAACCTCTGACTGGAGTGAATCCCGCTTTGGTAGCCACCACGTTGACATAACCACTGAACTGCGATGGAAACCCGGTATCTTCATCAGCTTCGATGACCTGATCAGGCCTAGGGCTCGTAACGCGGAGTTCCGTATCTTCCCACTGAATGGTCCATTCCTGCGGGTACTCAAGGCCTGTATCTGGTGATATCCAGATATTGGTACTCGAAGCCGTCAGGTTTATAGGAACCACTGAGTCTCGACCGTTGAGCGAACTTCTGACCGTAGCAAACATCTTCTGGCCATCCACGCGATCCTCCCACTTCCAAGCACACATAAGCGAGATATCCAACCATTCTGATTCTTCGAAATGAAGCATGATCCAATCGAAGGAGTCCTGAAGTGAGCCGTATTGCCTATCGTACCACGCGAAGGACTGTTCTGGGACAATGTCAACCTTTTCGCCATTGACTTTGAACGAGCCTTCAGTGCGTCCTCTAGGAACTGACCACTCCCAGCCGAGTCCCCCGCCGACTTGATATGACCCGAGAGCCGCGTTGAGCAAGATGGGAGACGTGAAATAGAAGTTAAAGTCAAACTCCACGTTGTCCGCCGAACTGTAAGTGTGAAGACCATGTAGCGGATTCTTGTCGATCGCCTCCATTCCATAATCCTCGAAGTTCGCTCGGAAATCACCATCGCTAGTCCAAAAGGTAGTGTAATCCGGAGCAATTCGATCGTATTTGTGGAAGATCGTAGGGTCAGTCAGATCAAGCACCGATGCTCGGTACACTGGTTTAGAGCCCTCGATATCAGAGGCGTAGCTCATCAAGTGAGAAGCGATGTAGTAATCGTGGCCATTTGAGCCATGAACAAATGCGTTGATCCAGAATGAGCCATCGATTTGAGTCCATCCTTTGTGTTGAGAGTCAGATATATTGAAGTTTAGAGGATACAAGTCGATCTGGGGGATTTTAGTGAAGGGTCCAAGTGAGATCAGTGAGTACTCACTGCGCCATTGAGGGTGAGGTTCGCATTGTTTGGTGGTAAGAGGGGGCGGACAGGAGGTGTGGCGGCCGAGAAAACAGCGATTGGGGAGAATGCTAAGAGGAAAAGGCTGGTCCTCATTGTGAAAAGAATCTTGGTTGGGTGGGAGTGTTATCAAATGGTTTGTCTGAGTTGAGGCTATAGTATCTTCTGTTATAGCGGAGGCATATGCTCTTCTTATACAATTTCTCATATTTTCAGCACTCTAAGATAATGAGATGGAGATGCAAATTCGATCTATCTACGAATCGAGATCTTCAACTCAAGATCAATGCTTATTAGAATTCTTAACAAGATAATGTAATAATTACAAAGGTGGCACCAGGAATTACTAACTTTGAAAAGCCATGCCGATCAAAGATTTACCCAGAATCGAAGTTCTTAATCTTAGGCTTAGACTCGGCATGAGGCGGATGGCCGTGACATAATCCTCATGCAGGTGAAGTGTCAGCAATCCGGCGCAGCATTTTTCTACATACAGTTAATGCATGCAGCGCCAAGCATTGGATTGTACAGAACGCCATATCATTTAGTGTAGTTGCTCCTAGTTAGATGTCTTTCTATGCTCTTTGCCTGTATTAACTATTCCAAAGTCTCGCGTCAACATCAGATGCAAAGCTGGCGCAAGTTTCAGCCCCAACGACAGTCGTGCTGCTAGACCATCCGTCACCAGCACAAGTCGATGCTGACCCTGCACCATGCATCAATGACTCTATCCCATTGTCATCATCGCCCCCCAAAGCCATCTCAGCCAACGAAGCCTGTTTGACAATACGTGATATCTCCGAAAAGTCAAGTTGAGCCTCTGACGTGATCGCAACAAAGTCTGCTTCTGAACCTAAAAGTCCATTCGACGTAATCCAGCTCTTCATCCCAGCAACAGCTAGTGCGCCCTCTATGTTCAGAAGTTGTCTTGTGTCTTCGTATATGTTCTTTGTTGCTATCAACACCTCGTCAATAGTAACTTGGACGATGTCATCTATAACATCGCTGCAGATCCGGGCGACTTTTGCGCCGACGTCCCTCGATAGCAGGTGCTCTTCCAACGTCGACTGCCCCTTGAAGTTCATCAATCTTGAAATGTCTGCTGAGTCGTGAAGTTGTACTCCGACGACCTTGATTTGAGGAGCAATGCGCTTGAGATATATGCCCAGGCCAGCTATCAAAGTGCCGCAAGCAATCGGACAGAAGACCGCTTGAACCTGAGAGGAAATCGTTTGCTGTATTATCTCTTGTCCAACTTTCCCGTGGCCTGCAATGACATATTCATCCCCAGGCTGAGGAATGGAGATCAGGTCATGAAGTGACTGCAGCCGCAAGGACTCCTCCTTCGTGGCATCGGCATTCAGTCCGTGCAACTTCACTGTACTCCCGAGACGCTTCAATTCCTTGATCTTGGCCTTTGTGGTATTCCCCGGCAAAACTATCATCGATGGTATTCTAAATACCTTTGCCGCATATGCTACAGCTAGGGCATCGGCTATGAGACTTTAGACACGGGCTTGTGTATTCTGGGACTTGACTTACACGCAGAAGATGTTATGACGCCTTTCCATCTCCTTTCCTTATCCAAGTTGGCCATCCTATTATATATCCCCCTCAACCTGTAGGAGTATCCAGGCTGTGTATCTTCTCGTTTGAACATGACATTGCATCCAAGTTCTTCACTGAGTCCATGTGCTTTTGTCAAAGGGGTAGGAGTGGCCACCTCATGCACCCTTGCTGTCAGGATTAGCTGCAGATACTGTGCCAAATTAGCGTCAGCTGTAGCTAGACATTCGATACTGCCCAGATCATACATCGGTCAAGTCTCGTGAGTGGTTACAGATCGCGGAAGTGGGAGACGGGTCCACAAGGCTTGATTGCCAACTGTTGATATCGTGGTGTTTCGGTGTACGACTCAGCGAACCATGCTTTTCGAAAGACAAGAAATAGGGGCTCGACCGCTGATACATTTTATCGAAAACAGTAGACACAGGCCGAGATGATATGAAGTTGTTGTACGCGAGTTCTTCGTGGTGAGGTTGATTGTATACAATAAGCTCCCGCGCATCGAAAATGTTTCTGCTTCAGCGCAAATCGAAATCACAGAATAAATACTTCTAGGTATCGAGGAGACTTGTGAACAGTTCAAGGTAGGGTGGGTTACTTCTCAGCTTCCTAGTAGATCTCGTGTTTTGGCATGGAGCATGGCCTCTCTACCAGATTAAAGATATTATCACTATACACGATCGATCTAACGAAGGTACCGGGTATAGTTAAAAATCGTGTACTTGCTCATCAAGATACAGGTGGTGGTCTTTCGAATTGGAGATCCTTTAATGCGTGCAGGATCCGATGGGGTAACTTTGCCCCGATGATCAGGCCGACTGCATAGAATTGGCAGATCATCCTGCATGAATCTCACCTGAGGTTTAGCAGGTCTACCGCATTGGGGTTGTATGTATCTAACCTTACTTGAATTGCGAATCCTTAGAGATAAGAGCAGTTACTAAAGAACATACAACTTACAGTAATACTAGTTATAACCTATAAGCAAGGAAAAACACCTATTGGTTTTTCTAACTGGCATAACCGTAATAACTAGCAACTGGGGTAGTATAATATAAGTAAATTATATATAAATAAGAAAGCCACTTAAGATTTTACTAACTTAGAACTTTATAAATTAAATATATATAAGTACACTTATGCCACTATTTAACTATTTAGAAATAAAATAATATATTTTATAGTAAGTAAATAATTTAAATTAAGATTTAAGTTACATATAATATCCTCAAACTTAAATCTTATTCTATATAAAACAATTAAATATATAATTTTAACTTCTCTAATAGATTATTTTATCAAGTTACACAAGTCCTTGGTCTTAACGTACAGTACAGAGTACTCGAGTGGAGATAATACGCTGGGCTTAGGGTAGCTATGGAGGTTCGATGTATCGAAAACACCAACATGAGACAAAAGAACCCTACGATAAGCTCCACGGTAGCACTGAAATGGACAAAAAAGGCATAAATAATTGCGTGCACCAATAAACAGGAGAGGGTAGCCTACAAACACGAGGGAGAGGCTTTGTAAGTCTCGTTTGCTGCTGGAACCAGGAGCATTTCAGAGGAGCTGGATATGGGTCGGGTCACGCGACAACACGACCACCAACAAACAATTGCATTAGAGCAAACAATGAGATGCCAAGGACACGGGTCAATAAACAACACGAGAATGTTCAAGTGAGTTGTTGATCTCTCACAATTATTGTTGTATTCGCAATTATTCTCAGACTTCGGTGGCTGAAAAAGAAGCCACTGATGATCAGCCGATCTCGGTATTTTCTTTGCTCCCGAAACCAAAGAGCAAACATGCGAGAAAACAACGCCTATTAATACCCAGTCACTCATTATGTGACGGATGCGAAACTAATGCTACGCGCAATGTGATAAACTCTAAAGTGCGGGCCAGAGCTAACAACCCGTTTGTCAGTTGAGGACACTGAGCTAAACTTGACAGGGCTAGCACTCTGATGATCTGTTAGAGGGCGAGACAAACAAACAAGGGTGCTC